TAATAAAGATTCCTACTTATTGCTTAGGAGCTCTGGTAGCATAGTGCCTAAGGCACTTGACTGCTCACCAGAAGGCTGGAGGTTCAAACCTGCCAGCTACTCCTCGGAAGGAAGGTTGGGCAATCCTACTTCCGTAGTGATACTGCCTCGGAAACCCAAGGAGGGGTCGCTATGAGTCGGGCCGACTCGACAGCAAACAACAACAATAACAACAACACTTATTGCTTACAACATTACAAGGAACACTGAAAATCTTACCCACATGAGTCTGCTAGAGGAAAGGAATACTGTTTGTCTCAAGGATCCAAAGGCTTTGAACTGTTCCAACCTTATCTCCCACTAATATATCCATTCATCCCGTCCCACCATCCCCAAAACATGGCCTGACTTTTCCCCATACCTGATCCTTCATACTGCTCTCTTGCTTTGTCAAAATTTTACCCATCCTCCATCCAGAAAAACCAAACTCACTGCCATCGAGTCAATTCTGACTCACAGTGACACCCTTTGGGTTTCCAAGGCAGTAAATATTTGCAGAAGTAAATTGCCCAGTCTTCCTCCCACAGAGTGGCTAGTGGGTTTGAACCGCCAAACTTCTGGTTAGTAGTCAAATGCCTTAGGCACTACGCCACCATTCTCCATGACTCGGCTAAATGCCACTGCACCAAAGAACCTTAGACCAATCACTAGAAACAGGGTTAATTTGTTCCACATCTGTACAATAGTCCCTTGATATTTACAGATTTTTCAAACAGTCTCCATTTTGACCATTCTCAAACCACTCTAAAGATGTAAGATACGGACTAATACAGAATTTTGTTGAGTCTAGAAAATTTGAATCACAGCTGTTTGAGGCAGACATACAGAAAAGTACCACCAGGAAGTGAGGGTGATGAGACAGTTTGGTATAAAAAGGGCCCTAAATGCTAAAGAAGATAGAAAATCACGGAGCTTCCTATCTGACAACCTCATCGTGACACCATACTGTTAGAGAAGGGATCAGTAAGGGAATAGAATCTCGTCCTTGAATCCTAGTGAAAGCCTCTGGGGCCCTCACAAGGTTTAGACCAAACCCTTATTAAAAAGGAAAAAGTAGAAGGCTGTGTAGGGCAGTGGTCGAGGACCATAGCAGCAGGACTGAAGCACTGCCAGTTAGGTACCTGGGCTCAGGCACCAGTTGTCAGGTCGAAGCTAGAGGCCTTGGGGCCAGAGAGCTGACCAGGTTAACTCCACATTCCCATACTCCTTTGCATACTTCATATTTACTGACTGAACCTGGTGGGCTCACGATATTTCCATTGTATACTTTTCTGCTTTCTGTGAAGGAATGTAAAGCAATATAGGATTCCCTGAGTGCAGAGTTTCTAAAGCCTAGAACATACTTCAGAAATATGAAAAGCTTACTGGACTTGGTGAGTGCTTCCATCACAGTACCCATCACGTGGGCAAATTGGAGAGCCTGCCTTCTCCTCCACTAGACTGGCCAGGGATTTTGTCTTGACAGTCTTTGTATTCATAGGGGGACATATATGAGATTGCCTGGGACTTTCTCCCGATACCACCTACTATCTAGTAGTACCCAGGTTTTTATATGCCTGACTTCTGATCATGGATCATACTGGACCATTCATCTCACATGTCCACTTGACCCTGCTGATGGATCCAGCGGTGAAATATATTTTAATCTGGCTTCCAGATTTTGGGACTTGGAACCCATGAAAATTCAATCTCTGTGTGGTGGCTGAAGTCAGATGTACAACTTCAGAGCTCTCAGAGGCTGTTTTCCTACCATATGGAAAAAGCCAGTCTGCAGTCAAATAATAAAAATAGTAATAATATCTGACACTTCATAAGCACTTTCTATGTAACTGGCACTATTCCAGATCCTTCACATGCATCAACATATTTAGTTCTCACAAGAACCCCAGAAGGTAGGTAATATGATTATCTTTTATTACACATGAAGAAACTGAGGCACAAAAAGGTTAAGTAACTTGCTCAATGTCACAGTGCTAGTAAATAACAAAGCCTAAGGTTGTCTGGCTCCAGAGTCCACTCTTTTAATCACTACCCTGTATCTTGTGAGATTTTGTCTCGACAATCTTTGTATTTATAGGGCACATATATGAGATTGCCTGGGACTTTCTCCCCTGATACCCACTCACTACCTAGTAGTAGTTTTTATATGCAACAACAACTATATCTTGGAAGGACCTTTGGTGGTACAGTGCCTACGACATTTGACTGCTACCCAGAAGGTTGGTGGTTCAAACCCACCAGCAGTTCTGTGGAAGGAGGATGAGGCAATCTACTTTTTTAAAGATTTACCACCTTGGAAACCCAATGGGGGTCACTATGAGTCAGAATTGACTCGATAGCCATTGATTTGGTTTGGTTTTGGTTCTATACCTTGTAGAGCTGGCAAGCAAATGGAAACAGAAATGAGAGAAGGCAAGAGGTCTGGCTATGTTCATGCCTGTCATTCCAATTATTCCTGAAGCCAGACTGCATCTCTAACCATGCTGTCATGTATCTGATACGTTTCAACTCTTTCATGAGATTAGCAATAAATTTTCCTTTCTATTAAGCCAGCTTAAGGTATATTTCTGTTGCTGGCAACCAAAAAATTCCTAACAATTCTCTCCCCAGAATGTAGCATGGTATCCACCAAAAACCTTCTTACTCTCCATGACCCCTTCCCATCTCCACTGGGCAAACAAAATAAGATTCCAATTCCCAATGAGATCATACCATTTTCCTGCTGAAAACCTTTCAATAGCCTTCCCTGTGAGGAAGCCCAAACCTCTCTGTATAATACACAAGGCCCTTCAGAATCCGGCTTCATTTCTTACCATTGCCCTGCCCCTGCTCCCTTCTCATGATACGCAACAACTAGAGAGAGAAAAATTAATTCCTGGGCTCTCCTGGGCTCTCTCCACTACCACCATCACCATCTTGTCTGAACACTTCCCACTTGCTGACAAGTAGCTCTTAGGATTGGGCATGTGCTCTGGGTCCTAGTATCCTAACTGGCTTATGCTATTCCCCATTCCCGGGCTAGGAAATCAAAAACTGAAGCTCGGCACCACAGCACTCCCAGATAAGGACTACTCACCTGGCTGACTTCCAAACACTGCCTGATCATTAACCTACTACTTCTGTCCACTGTGCTTCAACTATCTGGGACCTCGCTACCTAACAGAAATGACATATGAGAAAGTGATTGGTACAGTGCCTAAAATGTAGTAGTTGCTCAGCATGTAATATTTTCCTTCTTTCCTCTCTTCCTCCTCTGGGGATCCTATTATGCAAGTTCTAATGTGCTCATCCTGTTGCCATGAAAGCACATCAGGCCAGACATCCCACCTCATCTACTCTGTGGCATCTCTGAGAACCTATCAGGTCACCAATCCTAAGATCTGACAAGAATAGCATCAACTTCTTGAGTCTTGGGTCAAGGTAGATGTCACAGGGTCCAGCTTTGAGGGGTGAGCCTATGGCTACAGGTGGGTATCAAAAAGCCCAGGTATGAAGAGAGAAGCACTTGAGAGGCTGATAACCCAGAACTCCCTCCAGGGCCTGCCCACACAGCACCTTTCCTGACCCTGGTTTCTCTATAAAAAGAACACACCTGAAGCAAGCTGTTCTGGAAGCACAGTTCCACCTTTGTAGCAATTCTATTTTTGTCAGCAAAAGAAAGAGGGGCTGGTGCAACACATACTGCTACAATTGGAACAATTACCCCTTAAATGTGATAATTACAGCTTGATCATTTTGTAAGAAAAGAATGATTGGTTCCAAGATGTTCTCCTCCTTGTTGGAACTTTGTGTGAAGAAACTGCACAAGGTCCAAGGCCACCAGCTTCGTATTTCAAAACCAGATGTAAATAGCTTCCTGTGCCTAACAAAAAGACATCATTCTGAAATTCTGTTTTGTTCTATACTGCTAAATTTTAGGGTAAACTGAGACAACTGCCTGGGTAATTTAAGCCAGCAGGACTAGACCCTTTGTATGTGCCCATAAACTTTAAGAGCTAGCTGACTTGTCAGAAACCATACTGAGATCTTGGCATCCATTTGACTGAGGTGGCAACATAAAAAGTGTCTATATCTAAGCCCTGGATACAGAAAAAGCTATATACAGACCCCATCTGTATGGCAAGCTGCATCAGAAGCTGGTAATCTGCAGGATTCGAGGTTTAGAACTTTATAACAACTGCAAAAGTTGGTATTAAGCAAGCACAACCTATGGAATAAGCTATACACAGATTACTATGAAAACTATTTAAGTAATCAATTATATATACCTTAGTTAGATAGGAGGCTATCTTCCCATTTCACCTGGCTCAAGGATAGTGAAACCTTTTGATCCACAGCTAGATATATCTGAAAGAAATACTTCTGTCTATTCCTGTCCAGAATGTCTTCATTTTTCATCTTGAGTCTCCATTATGACCCTTCTCTAGACCCCACAGGGGCCATGTTCCACACAAATCTGCCTTTAATGACCACATCATAGTTTGGCAGTTTTGAAAATGTCTCAGTCTATCTTCAGTTGTTCTAAGTTCATGCCTTAAGTGCTGATAGAGTCATTATATTGACATTCTTCTGATTATAGCGGTCATTATTCATAATTTGCTTGAAGGAGGCTCACAATCCTGCTGGTCTCTATTCAGCTGCAGTAGAGTTGAGCAGTGCTATATGTGTCACTTGGATTTCTAGGGGGGAAGAACACCACTCCCAAATGAAGTGACCTCGTCAGAAGTCTCCCACACCACCCAGAAGTCCTCTACCCCAGGCTATTTCCCATGTCTCAAAAATACCCCCTCCTGCCTATAGCAGCTTGGAGTAATACAGCTCCATTTCATATTCATTCACGTCTGGTCTACTCATTTTTGTAAATCTGTGGGGATATCCTTTGTTATCTCTGGGTCTTCCACAAGCAAACATCTACCCCTTCACAAGGAATTCCCAATCCATTTCCCTCTTAATGGTCTCAGAGATATAAAGGTGGCTTTGTCTATATAGCCACAGCTGATCAGTCAGGGTCTATTCCAGGTGGAGCCAATCAGAGTCACTTCCCTGGAAATTTGCAATTAGAGGTAAGTGATTCCAGATTCAGCTGGCTGTTCTCTTGAACAGGGTGATGCAAACGTAGATCTAGAGGCATGGACATTTTCTGTCCCATGCACTGAGTATCAGGGAAAGCCAATCTATGTAGAGAGATAAAGCAGCAGACAGAGAGAGAAATAGGGACAAGAACTGGAGAGAGACAGAATCCCTAATTCCTAGGAGCCCTGCTAGCCCCAGTCCCAATCCTTTCTGTGGCCCCACTGCACTACTGTCCTGGGTTACCTGTATATTTTATATTTTTACTTAAGGTGGTTGTTGTTCTTAGGTGCTGGTGAGTCAGCTCCGACTCATAGTGACCCCACGTACAACAGAACGAAACACTACCCAGTTCTGTGCCATCCTCACAATCCTTGCTATACTTGAGCCCATTTTTAAAGCCACTGTTTCAATCCATCTTATTGGAGGTGTTCTCCTTTTTTGCTGACCCTCTGCTTTGTGAACCATGATATCCTTCTCCAGGGAATGGTCCCTTCTGACAACATGACGAAAATAGTTGAGAGGAAGTCTGGCCAAGGTAGTTAGAGGTAATTTCTCCACTTGCCAGTTAAAAGAATCTTAATAAATACTATGCTTCTCAATGTGAAGAACTGCGCTCTCTCACACATACAACCCAACTTTCATGAGTGCTGTTGCCTTTTGCACACAACATACCCCACACCACCATCTATGAAATCCATTTAATTATTTCTTCCAAACTTGTCTTCCCACCACACCACCACCCACACACTGCCGTCGTGTCGGATCTGACTCATAGCAATCCCTCTTCGGGTTTCTGAGGTGGTATCACTACAGAAGTAGATTGCCCAACAACCTTCCTTCTGAGGAGTGGCTGGTGGGGTAGAACCACCAGCCTTCTGGTTAGCAAATGCCTTAGGCACTATGCCACCAGAGCTCCCAGGGCTTATCAATTTGGGAGGAGCTCCAGTAGCATAGTGCCTAAGGCAATTGACTGCTAACCAGAGGGCTGGTGGTACAAACCCACTACCCACTCCTCTGAAGGAAGGCTGGGCAATCTACTTCCGTAGTGATACTGCCTTGGAAACCCAAGGAGGAGTCACTATGAGTTGGGGCTGACTCGAGGGCATATAACAACAACAACAGCCTTGGCAGTTTGTATTTCCCTTCATTCTAGTATTCATTACAATTAGACTGAGACCAACCTGAGGGCAGGACTGTATCTTATATCTGTATCCTTGTGGCTTAGCACAGTGACTGGTACCATAATAAGTCCTCACAAAGATTAATTGAAGAAATAAATGAATAATCACCAAGAGACTGCAGGATATGATGTAAAACTGCAAAGTATATAATATTCTAACAGTTGTTTGTTTTCTTTTTTTTAATAATTCATTCCTTTTATTCATTGTAATCAGCAAACATAATTGGAGTGTTATTGCTAGCTCACTAGTACAATCAGAGAAAACATTTTCCTCATATTTGTCAAGCCATAAAAATGTGATATTAACATAAAGAAATACAAAAGCTTTTGGGACAATGAGCACTTCCAACTCAAGGATTACACACTAAATAAATAATGAAATGCAGAAATAAGAGCAAATTATTGTCCTGTGCTCCTTCCACATACTCCCCCTAGTGTCAAGAACTAAATAAACTAAGGAAGAAAACGAAGCCCATTGAGTCCATTGTTATCTCTTTCTCAATAACTCATTCACCTGTTTTTTTTGTTTTGTTTTGTTTTTAAGAAAAAAAAAAAGCATTAAGATCTCTTCATATCACCTATTCTAAGACAAAAGGACTGGACAATGTAAGCGGTTGTCTCCTGTCTCCTTGAAGTCACCAGATCTGCAGTTACAGTGCTAGGTAGTCTTTGGTCATCTCATGACACCACACCCAACCTGGATCCCCCGACCTCTGGGGATCAGAGGAAAGAGCATTGTGGTCCTTGAAGAGGGTTTTGTCATTTCAAAACACCTAAGAAAATTATATAGTCAATGGAGGTGGAACTGGAAACCACTAAAGAAATTGGTAAGTATCTTTCCCTTCAGGTAGAAATTCATCAACTTGGTATTAGGTCAGCCCTGTGTTTACCTACCACTGATTAAGTCATCACTCACTCACTGCCATCAAGTTGATTGCAATTCATAGCGACCCCTTCCGACTCGATGACAATGAGTTTGGTTTTGGTTTGGTATCTGTATTTCAAATTAATTGAAAATAGGAAAATAAGTAATGGGCTTATAAAAGAGATTGATAAAGAGAGTAAGATAAGTTTAAATTGGGGTCGAAAAAGATAAAAAAATAATAATAATAAAAGAGGTCCTTCACGATATAAATATTCCACCATGGAAAGACCCATTTCCCTGATACCTTAATTGGCCTTTGAAGTATGGACACACTAGGACACTTCATGAGAGGGAACATTGCTCTTGGCTGGGCCACTTCATCAGAAATTGGAAGATCAATGATTCATTAGCCTGTACAAGTGAAAAGCAAAGGGAAACTCAAACTGGTTTTTATCATTTTACTTCATGGCTCAAATACTTTCAAAATTTCCTGAGAACCTACTGTATGAAACTCAAATTCTTTAGTTCTTTTTATTCTTTTTTTTTTTTTTCAGCTTTATCTTCCCCAGCCACTCCACAGAAAGAAGGTTGGACAACCTACTTCTGTAGTGATACTGCCTCAGGAAACCCAAGGAGGAATCGCTATGAGTCGGGTCCGACTCAACAGCAAATAACAACAACAATATTTCCCCTAATATCCATATGAGTCCTATGCTCCAGTCCACTAGGTCTCCTCACTTTATTTTGAGCATTAATTCATTTATTCAACACGTATTTACCAAAGGCTGCTTACGGGCCAGGCATTCTCCCAGGACCTGAAAGCACAGTGACAGACATGGTCTCGACCATTATGGAGGATATAAATAAGTACAATGACATGGGAAAGTTGGGTTATTATAGGTGTCCATAAGAAAGCACTTAAGTGGATGAAGGGGTGTGCAGGGGAGAACACTTCCTAAAGAGGTAATATTTAAACTGAGATCTGAAGGACAGGAAGGGATTAGCCAGGTGGAGAACAGAACATTTTTCAAGTTAAGAGAACAGCATGTGCAAAGGTCCTATAGTAGGAAGCAGCATGGAGATGTGCACAATGTCCTTGCTCACTCCAATCCTTTCTCCAGGACCTACTGTCCGATAATCTCTACCTAACAAAAACCTCATATGTATGTGAGAGCTGGACAATAAATAAGGAAGACCGAAGAAGAGTCGATGCTTTTGAGTTGTGGTGCTGGTGAAGAATGCTGAAAGTGCCATGGACCACTAAAAGAACTAACAAATCTGTCCTGGAGGAAGTGCAACCAGAATGCTCCTTGGAAGCAAGAATGGCCAGACTTCGTCTCACCTACTTTGGTCATGTTGTCAGAAGGGACCATTCCCTGGAGAAGGATGTCATGCTTGGTAAAGTGGAGGGTCAACAAAAGAGGGGAAGACCATCAACAAGAGCAATTGACACAGTGGCTACAATGATGGGCTCAGGTATAGCAAGGATCGTGGGGCTGGCACAGGACTGGCACAGGGCTGGCAGTGTCTCATTCTGCTGTACACAGGGTCGCCATGAGTTGGAAATGACTTGACAGCACCTAACAACAACAATAACAACAAAAGCCTGCCAATCTCTTCTTAGTAACCAGAAGCAAAAGCATCTTACCCTCAACTGAACCAAAGGATTTATTTTCTATAGCATTTACATGGCACTAATCTATTCCTAGGTCCCAGGCGGTACAAAGAGTTTGCATTCAACTATTAACCTAAAACGGCAGTTTGAACACACCCAGAGGCGCGATGGAAGAAAGATCTTATCAAAATGCTTCTATAAAGATTATAACCAACTTTGACCCAAATCACAATAAAAAGGTTAAAAAAAAAAATCAAATAACACACACAACAAAAAAACTTTATGGAGTAATTCTACTCCAACATGAGGGATTGCCCTGAGTCAAAATAGACTCAACGGCAACAGATGTGGTTTGTTTATTTTTTAAATCATTACTCCACCACCAATCTGTCAATTTTCTGTATTGTGGTGGATTGCATGTTGCTATGATGTAGGAAGCTAAGCCATCCGTATTTAAAATACCCATAAGGGCCCCCATGGTAGACAGGTATCAGCAGTGTTTCCAGATTAAGACAGACAAGGAAGAAAGGCCTCAACATGTACTTCCAAAAATGAGCCAATGAAAAGCTATGGATCACAACAGAACATTTTTCGACTCACTTACCGTTGTCATGTCAACAGAAGGGATCAATTACTAGAGGCAGTCTTCATGTTTGGTGAAACAAAGGGCCTACAAGGGCAAGAAAACCCCTCAGTGAGACGGATTTGCACAATAGTGAAAACAATGAATTCAAATGTGTCAGTTATCCTGAGGATGATGGAGGAACAGCATTTGGTTCTGTTGTACACAGGGTCACTGAGTCTGAGTCATCTTGATAGCAGCTCTCTCTCTATCTAATCTATTACTGACTATTGGAAGCTATTTGTATACTTGTTGTGTTCTCCCCATTATATTGCAAGGTCTAAGAGAACAACAGTCCTTGTACATAGAGGGAACTCAAACAGTTGTTGGATTGAATTATTTTTCTTGGCATTCCTTGCAACATGTAGCCTTGACTCTAGCTGGCATTT